CCCCTGGCGGGCCACACGGGAGTCACCTTTGGGCCACGTTTGGCCTACGGGCATTGTGTTTGACACGTGCTCTAGGCTATCTGAAAAAAATACACAAATTTTTTTTTTTTCACTGCTTAGATCATATTTCATTTTACTTAACTAAATCTGTGGCTTCTTAAGGCAATGTTTTTATTTTTTTAAACCATTTATTTCCTTTTAAATTCCAGTATTTTTGAAGCATTTTTGTAGAATAGTTACATTTACAGCCCAAATTTCTTTTATGTTTTCTACCAATACTACTTGTGCGACCCTCTATAAATATACAGTTTTTAAGTTTCCTCTTTGTGACCTCCAGTCCAGAGATGGTGCCCTGCTGCAGGATCTGAGTGTGGTGCTTCTTCACGCTTCACAGCATGCTGAAGCTCTGCTGAAGCAGACTGATGGAGGTTTGTTGTCCCTGTGGCTCAGAAGCCCCCTCCGTCACTCCCTGACCATCGGCCTGCCCCACCTTCTGACTGTGCTGCAACAAACATCTCTGCTGGGACAACAAGAGTTGAGGAGTGAGGAATCCAACTTTAACTCTCTGTCTCAGTAATCTGGGAAGCAGCATCTTAGTGTCGCGTGCTGATAAACACATTGGCTTGTCTGTGAAGATGGCCATATTCATGTTTTTACATAATAAATTCATGCCTGCGTTGGTTTTACACTCTCTGCCTTCAGGACCCCTGGCCACTCTGGCAGGTGTGTACCAGGATGTGACGGGTCAAAAGTTGGAGTCACTGTGGAGGAAGGCTGTTTTGGTTTGGACTGATGGGCTGGTGGATATTCTACACATTCAGCTGGATAATCCCCACCTGAGGTTGTTTTCACAGACTGGAGTCTCAGCCCTCACAGCTGCTCTGGATGTGGTGAGAAAAATAAACACTCCAGTTCTTTGCAAAACAGAGAAATGTCAACCAGACATCTCTGTTTAACATATTCTACAAATATATCTTAGATGCCTCAGTTTTTTTGTGTTTAAGTCATAGTTTTAGTGGCACGATGGTGKAGTGGATAGAGCTGTCGTCTCACAGCAAGAAGGTTGCAAGAGTATTATAAATGTATTTATATTATTGTCACAATTATTTAAAACAAATTTCATTTCCTCCTTTTTTACTCCCATTACTGGTACACATCGTCCTTGAGTTTCTATGGAATTATATCGTTACATYTAAAGATTAATGTGTCTGAATTATGTGTGTTGTCTTTCATTCAGACAGTCCAACATGCCTCTCACTGGGCTGAAAGCAAGCTGGCCTTGGTTCTGTCCYGAGTCCGGAAGCGGCTGGCCTCGGTGTACAGATTCTCCCCCAGGTGCTGCACATATCTGAGACTTACTGTAATTGCAAAAGCTTTTTACTTCATAAAAATGCTTTGGTGTGTCGGAAATAGAATATACCGCTCATTTTGTTCTAACAAAAGTTGGCAAACCTTCAGTTTTATTTTATTTTTTATTTTTTTTTGGGGGGGGGGTTGGTTGTGTGTCTTGATTTAAAAACAGCACATTAGTGACTTTGTTTCAGAGTAGGTCTTATTGACACAACAAAATAAAACTGAATTCCTCTTAGACTGTGTGTTAAACAAGCTTAAAATTAAATGGGTTAAAATAAAAGTAGATTTTTGCAGCTGGTGGGAGCGGCACTATGGTGATTGGAGATGTTGCTTCTTAACAAGAAGGTCAGAGGTTCCTGATAACTGTAAAACTGTCCCTAAGCGTGGGTGAGAGTGTGAAAAGTTGTTTGTCTCGAAGTGTCCCCGGGATGGACTGGTGACCTGTCCAGGTGTCCCCAGCCTCTCACTCAGTGGCACCTGGAGATAGGTGATAGGCTCCAGCTCCAACTCCCTGTGATCTTAAAGAGAGAAGCAGATCAAAAAAAAGAAGATGGTGGGATCTTTAGGTAAACTGAGGTCTTGAAACATGTTGTTTTAAATCCAAATGTTTCTTTCAGACATTGTGAAGTGACCGTGTCGGTGCCGCTGCCGCCTCTCGCTGTGTCGAGGGTGCCTGAGGTCGGGCTGTTGGAGGTCCTTCTGGAGGAGTGGCTCCTGAGGCCCCTGCAGGCCCTCGCCTCTGTCAGACCAAAAGCTGAACTTTATCGCTTCAAGAGGAAGATCATGGACGGTCCTTTCAGAAGTAAGTTTGGTCCAAAAATATGGAAAATAACTGGAAACCCAGGGAGGTAAGGAACAAACACAACAATGACAGAAACTAAAATCCACTGAAAATCCTGGAGTGGCAACAAAACCAAACGCCATAAAAGAATTTCAGAAATTCTATTAAAGTCTGTTGTTGTGACCGCTCTAACCACTGAGCCACAGCCACTTGTTATGAAAATATTGTGTGAATTCTTTGAGCTTTTATTTACGTATTGTCCTGGAGGATTTTTTTACATTGAATCTGTAAGGTTCTAGCCTGGCCCTTGCCTTCCTACGCAGCTCCGCTCAATTCAAGTTTCCCTTCACTGCTCCGTCTGGGACTTCTCCCATTAACAAGGATTTCGCTGGCAGATTTTTAGCCGGGCCAATCAGAGAAGAGAACGTCGATTTTCTGCGCAGTGTCAGCTTGTAGTTTATTTTACCTGGGCCGATCAGCAAACCGAAGGTGGAGCTTTGAATGACGTCGATGTTCTGCGCAGTGTCTGCTAGTTATTTTAGCAGTGGAGGAAGTGAATGAAGCCAGTCCGTGTTGATAAGGCTTCCAAATTAAATTAAATTTGTCTGACAAASCAGCAGCTCTCATTCACAGCTGTTTCGTTTGGCTCGGTACTTTTCTCCTCTCAGTAGGGTTGTTTACAACACACGCGATTTCCGGTTAGCTTCTTAGCTTACCT